CAAATTAGGAGGATTTGAAATACCCCCACCTTTCAGTATGTTAAGTTGTAATTTTAATAATTTTTTTTATTTTAATGAGAAATACAAAAATGATTTTTTTTTTCTTGTATGATTCTTTTTCCGTAAGCTTAATATTATAGGCAGGCGTTTACTAATATAAAGTGCATATAAAAACAAAAATGACATGTGGAAAATATTTAATGCATTTAAATTTTTTTGAATTAAAAGATTCGAGCGGAAGAGCTATCCTTTATTTTCCAAGGGTTGAAAAAACCTGGGTGCTATTTCAGAAATGATGAGCAGTTTTTCCCAACCATAAGAAAATCGCACTTTGTAGTTTTCAGCTTCGAACTGTTTTGAAAACAATGCATGGACAATCGCTTTCCAGGACGTGTCTTGTTCAGAGCAATTGTATTCATCTAAATGTTTTGGGACTTTGTACAACAGCTAGCTGATTTGAAACCAAACAGTTACTTCTTGAATTAAATAACAAAGAAGTCCAGCTCTGGTTAACGTGATAATTGATTGGTGATAATTCAGCACAATGTGAAGTAATCGCACTTATCCATGCCTCACCGCACACAAGGTGCTGTACAGTTACTCAAACAATTGAAATACAGCTTTTGCTTAAAAGTGTTCAAAAGCAGCAATGTTGAAATTACCTTTTATAGGGGTTTGCTTTTTAAATGTCCGTTGTACAATTTTAAAGTAAATTCATATAAGATTTTTTTGTCTATTTTTACTTAAAATGCCGACTTGTGAGAACTTGCATTGAAATAGGCTTCAGAGTGTTCTTTTCAACGGGTGTATCCACAAATTTTGACCCGATAATAAGCACTGAATCCGGGATGTTTCGCGCCGATTCTGTTTCGCACGGAGATGGTTCGCGCCAGGATGATTCGCGCCGATTCGGGCGCGAAACATCTCATGTTTTATTTTAAATATTTCATCACATTTTCATCCGTTTTAAATTATTTATCAAATATGATATAAATATTTTGTGTGCTCAAATTCATGACTTAATAACATGCACTGCTATAGTTAACGGATTGTACGGTGCCCGTTTGCTCAGCGTGTCTGTTCAACAATTCAACAGTGTTTCATGAAGATTTAATTGTAATAAGTTGGAGATCAAAAGGTGAAAATTTAAGTTGATGTGTGGGTTGTCCAAGCCAGCAATAATTACTTAATTAGATGGCGGTATTATAATTATCTACTTATACGTAATTAGCACGGTGTTATAATAATTCATAATTATGCTATGTATGTATACTTCAAACACAGACAAATAATTTACGTCTCTGCTTCAAATATATAATCTTCTTAAATAAAAAAAAAATGTTCCAAAAATATCTATATTTACATATATTTAAAATCTAAAATTTTGTTAAATGAACTAAACTCAGTAGCACATTTATGTACTGGGAGTGAAACATCATGGGGCGAACCATCTCAGCGCGAAACAGAATGGGCGCGAAACATCACGGGGCGAACCATGCATAAGTGCGATACATCCCGTTACCTAAGCACTCATGCAAATCAAATCAATACTTCAAACGGAAATACGTCATAACGTGGAGGTATCCCATACTACCTGAAGAGAAAAATAAGTGATAAAAAATAATAAAAACAAAAAAGAAATAGAAATGAAAGAAAGAAAAGGGCATCAAATTATTAGAATTAATGGAATCAAGTGTTTGAGTTAAGATTTGAGAGAAAAAATATAACTCCTCTACCAATTAAAATCAAGTGGATATAAATTTTTAGGAAAGAAAATGAAAATTATGAAAGTTCCCTTTGAACATACATTGATGCTTTTAACTTGTTAGGAATATAAAAATGCTTTCAGCAACAGCTTACAACTGAATTGTAACAGCATAGAAACATCTACTTTGAAATCTTTTTAGAGCATTATTGATGAACCGCAAAATTCAACATTACTGACTACTGGGCGTTTTTTTATTAAGTGAACATTTTATAATACAGCAACTAATAAAATAGTTTCTTTTTTTTAAGAATAGCTTTAAAATATTCAAATCTCTATTTAATTGCAAAAAATTGCTATTTTGTCGAAATACGAGTACATGTACTCAATCAAAGAACGTAAAAATATGTGCAACTTATTTTTTCTCATAAGAAACTTATTTGAAAATGACCAATTGATAATTATCGGCCGCAGGAGAGGCCGATCTATTTGTGACTGTGTTAAAAAGTGTATATGTTGGAAATGGGGTGTTATTTCTTTATTAGTTCGGTAAAATAATTCTTAATGATAATATGTATAAAGATGCTTTGCGTCAATTTTACTTGTGACACATTGTGTTTAGAATCCGAGTGTTTATCAATACTTTTTGAATATCTTTGTATTTAAGATTGTCATAGAACTGATGCATTTTTCAAAAGAGAAATTACCACAAATATTAAGTTTAATTTGGATATCATGGCACCAGTATTTTTTAAACAATTAAAGAGAAATCAGAATTTTTTTTAAAAAGTTTTTTTTTCTTTAAGGGTTATAATATATTGATGGGAGAGAATCACCCAGACCTGATAGCAGCTGATGGAGTCCAATATTTTTACAAAACAAACCTTCCTTTAACAAGTAGGTGGCAATTTTTGTAACTTTTAAATCAGAAATGTTACATTTCGTAAAATTAATCAGATCCGCTACACTATACTTGTGTGTGTGTGTGTGTGCAAAGAAATGTTTTCTGACAACTCCACCGAATCAAGAACGAGGTTCCAATGGGTAATCGCTTACATTGTTTACACTCTTTGCCAAGTATGGTCACTTAAAAATATATGTATCTCAAATTCACGTAAAAATAGATGGAACTCCAAGTTAATGCTTTCCTAGTTTAAACATGTAACAATTGCTTGTAATTGTACCTAAGAAGGCGTAATCGTGTTGCTCTGGAGAAAATAACTACCTCTCTGCCTTAACACCAGTTTTATTTAATCTAAAATACATGGGCATGCCTGCGTATTATTCTGATTATTTATAGTAACGTTTTATTCAAGGTACAACTCTGTCCGCAACAACTACAAAGAAAGTACCATCTGGTGCAAGAATCAACTGAACAGATAAACATCAGAAGAAACAACTGCTCAAATTCAACTCCTTGATTTTCTTTCTTCATTGGTATCCTAAGAGTAAACCTTTTATGTATTTAAAGATATCTTTCCTTTAACAAATCTTGGAGTGAAAGGTTTTATTATATGTAACAATCCATTTATTGTGATCGCAAAAGTGTTTTGAAATATAACACTTTATTACATTGGATTTCATAAAAGAAAATAAGATCCACCATTTTTTTTCATTATTACATTTTATGTTTGATAAGTAAAACAAGATATCAATGAACTCGAAATCATTTACATTAAACAAATAATTTACATTAAACAAACTTTAATAAAATTTTATTCATTTAATGAGCTAGTAAATAAACATAGTTGTTATTTGTAAGCGTTGGTGTAAAAGAACAAGTAAGTTGTGGGGCATTTGGAACATTAATTGATAAGGAATTTCATGAAAATTAACCGTAAATAGGGAAAAACGAGAAAATATTTACCTTTCACCTTCTAAAGTTTAATCAATGGCACCTTGTGTGATCCTGGCGTCATAGTGGGTCTTCTGATAAATACTTTAGTTTTTCTCAATACATTTTGTCGATTAAGATGGTAGTGTTGGCCAATACAACATTTTGTTCTTCTGGAGGTAATTAACAAAAATATGGATTACTTTTTAAAAATTTAAAAGCATACGCCTAGAAAACAGAGGAGAGGTATTGACTTCCTAGAGAAAACTACATCTGGACGTTACAGATTGAGATTAAAACAGTGTGTGTTTTTTTTTTTTTAATTTTAATTATCAATTATTTTAATGTGTTCCCGTTTAAACTTTTTTAACAATTCTAAATGTAGATTATTTTATTTATTTATTGGAGGACTGTGTTTTAATAACATGTATACAGACAAATAAAAGAAAAAAGTATGCTCTGTAGAAATTTTGGGAAGAAATTTTACCGAGTCCAAATATATTTCCTCATGCAAAAAGAAAAAGCAAACCAATGCATGATGAAAGACGAATTACTATTATTAAACAGTGAACAAAAGTAACAGGAATTGCGTTTTATAAAATATTTTATACTGAATTACCTAATATTGATTGCATTTCTACAACTGATCAGTGTGTCCTAAAGCTTAATGTCTTTTTTTTTCATTTCATCCTAACAAATTTTGGAACGAGGTATATTTACAACATCTATTCGTTCCTACTACTAGTACTTGTCCGTTCCATTTCGTGTCTAACTTTAAACTTCTTACATTTAAAAACGTCTGTATGGTAAATTTTTCATATAAGTGTTTATGACCCGAGAGTGCTTCATGACATGACCTTGAGCAAAGATCCGGTAAAATGGATATAAAATTTTCGAATTATTGTCCTTTGGGTTATAACTGTGTAATGTGGAGATTGAAAACACTTAAATGTGACTTTTTACTCATGATCTGAAATAAGGTCATTTGAACAGACCAGTATAAAGGTGAAAAAATGAAAATCCTGTATAATGCATAATTCTGTAATTTAGAGTGAAAAAAGGTACAGATAACGAACAGTGATCGATCCTAAATCTGTCATTATTCATTTATTGCCAAAAGCTTGTCTATGTCATAAAAATATATTGAAACTTTATTGAACAACATGTCGTTATGGATATTTCACAGAAATATGTCTGGCCGGAATAAATTTTGAATTCACGCAGATTTGCAATTTGAAAAATAAAATTAATTTACAGAAAAATGCATTAAGCTTGGCACATATGACTTGTCTAACCGTAGGTTTCTTAACAAGATATTTAAAGGAGCATATCACTTCTGCGCAATTATATTAAATTTCCAAAGACTGGATGTTAGACTATTTGAGAAATACTTTTATTTAACATTTTAACAAATATCATCTTTCTGAAAAAGTGTCAAATGACAATCGATATATCAAGCATGTCAGGGAGAACAATCACTTCTAGGGTTTGCATAATAGCTTTGATAGTCAAAATTATTCCAAAGGCGTAACTCTTTTTGCCTAGGGTCGTTCCGTACTTGGAGAGAATCTCCAATCATTAAGTATTGTTTCGTTGGATAAAAGGTATCCCAATCACCGCCGGATGACAATCTTATTGATGAAACATTCTTTGTGCTGCAATAGGAATAAGATATTGATATGAAATGTATTGAAAAGAAATGAAAATTTGATTTTAAAATACTTTTTAGACCTTTTTAGAGACTGATGATAAATATATTAGTGTAATGTACGTGTTCAGTGGTTTGTAGATACTTCTAAGTTTCATTTGCCCACTCATACCAGGTGAGATTCAATGAAAATGAATGGCAGGGCATTCTTACCCCAACTTTGCAAAGTTACTCCACAAGTCAATAGTAGCTTTGCTGATGTCTGTATCCAGCTGATTCCAGGTTTGGAAAGCTGTCCGGATTTGAGGACACGTGACACTGGGGTCTCCTGGACACGGAATTGATGTAAACAAAGGTGTTCCGAACAAGTAGTACAGTTCCGATGCATGAATAATACCTTGACTCAAAATAAGAAATTTAATCATCAAGATAAGAAAGAAAATTAGTATATTTCATTTTCTAAGGTAATTAAGTTTTTTTACCCATCCAGTCAGGCATTGGATAATTACTGGACCGGTAATTAAAATCATATAGCCATGTCTTTGTTCCTATTAGATTCAGTTTGGAGGCTAATTGTATGTGTGGTATGATGTAGCCATAATCAGACTTCAGCTAAAACATTGCAAAAAATACGATCATTTTGGGATATACAGGTAAAATTCTGAGAATAAATTCTTGAATTTAAAACACCTGACCGAAAATGATTTTAAAAGGGACAAAAACACGCTGAAAATTTTAAATGACTAAAACCTTCAGTTAAAAAGATTATATTTTAAAAGTTTCTTAAATAAAACAAGATGTGTTTGTGAAACACTGATGCCCCCCTATGGCAACTTATAGTGAAGAATAAACTTTCTCAAATGCAAATCAAATATGTTGGTACCTAAAGTAAGGTCTTGTCTCGAGGAATACACCTGTGAAATATATAAGTCCTAGCAGTAACCATTGAAAAGATATGGAAAAGGTTAAAGTTTTTCAAAAGCAAATCAAACATCAAAAGTTATGGCCAAGGTTAAAGTTTTCAAAAGTAGGTCAAACTCCAAGGTCAAAGTCAAAAGGTCAAAGTTGTTGGTATTTAAAGGAAGGAATTATTACAAGGATTACACAAGTGAATATGTATGTAAGTATGAAAGCCCTAGCTCCAATTGTTCAAAAGTTATGGCAAGGGTAAAGTTGGTTTAAGTTTTGCAAAATATGGTCAAACTCCAAGGTCAAGGTCAAAAGTTCAAATATGATGGTAGCCAGAGAAAGGTCTTGTCAAAAGGAATAAACATTTGAAATATGAAAATCATAACTCCAACCAATCAAAAGTTATGGGCAATGTTAAAGTTTTTGCAGACAAACAGACAAACAGTTAGACAGACAGTAGGACAGACAGGGCAAAAACTATATACCCTCGATTCTTTGATTACAAGGTCATAACAATATTTAATTGTATGGTTATATACATATGTTTACTTGCATATATGTCTGCACGTTTGCATGGTCATCACTACCTAATGGTGAATAGTAACATGTGACTGCAGATTTCACTTTATGTCCGTGAAGAAATCTTCTACTCCAATTATCTAATAAGGAATTGTAATACGTGACGTCATATCCTCCATTGGAATTGAATATATCCGGTATTTCATCTGCCGATTCATTTGGAACGAATCCTGTCATCACCCTAATATTTTTGTTAAAGTTTCCTTTATCAAGAAGGTTTTCAGGTACATCATGTATAAAATAACCATCCACTCTTGGTGCGAACGCCGCTATCATCTGTGGATGCTTCAAGTCATAAAAATGAAAAATAAATTTTTCTTCGAATTATTTTTTAAAAAAAAGTCTTCCTTTATTAATTTAACAGATTTTCATTTGATGCAAACCTTTGGGTATGTGTTAACAACATCATGTGCAGATTTTTGTCTCAAGCAATCAACCAGTGCCTGTGATGAGTTAACGGGACATTGTAACATCAAGGCCAGATTCCTCGTAGTCATCGTTATGGAATGTGGCGGTCTATAGATGGAAAACGGACTGAGAGCACAACCACTTTGGGGAATAAGTGCTTGAAACAAACCTGTAAGAGTTTTTTTATTGTTTGAATCTCGTTGTTTTAGCTAGATGTAGCTTTAAATGTTATAGAATGCATACTAGTAATTGTATTTTGTCTTTTAGTATATAAAAAGATACCAGTGTGGCCGTATGTTGTAATCCCAAATGATATTCAATCCAAATATATTGTAGGATGGATGACTTAACATTCATTAATAATAATTTTGTATCATTAGTTAACTATCATTTAAATTAAGAAATATAACGTGTCATTTTAAAACTTATATCGGGATGTATAAACGGGTTAGTCAAGTGATCGAATCCTATAGTGCGGGCTTTATAGTAGATTTGATCACGTACCAACTCGTATTTACATCCCGATAAAAGTTTTAAAATGATACCTTATTACTTATTTTTACATCTGTAACTGATATGTAACAGATATTTGGGTACTATAGTTTTAAAACCATGAAATAATTGGGGCTTTTTTTAAACCTCAACAGTGTCAATCGACAATTCTCGGCTGACTCCGCTACGCTCCATACGAACCTCTTATGTGATTGGTGGAGAAATATGCATCAAATCGATACATTTCTCCGCCGGAAACTACCTTGTAACTCATTTCATATTTCGCTCTGCATATATTAAAGTTCTTCAAAAACTTTTTTAACTTGTCTGATCATTCCTTGTAGATTGGTTCTGATTACAACCTTATGTTATTAGTCTTTGAAAGCAAAGCCATACTGTTGGGCGTGTCACAAAGTAAATCAGATTTCAAAGTATTATAAAAACATTTGAAGGAATTTCAAATAAGATCACATGACTGTATCAGCAAAATGGTAGAAACCGAGGCTAGTGTGCGAGATACGAGCCATCCGAGGAGCTCCGAGTGCAACATTATAAAGAAAATGTGTTGAACACGTCACTATGAAATTACGACGATCGTTTACGACTAAACAGTGAATCTATAGGTGACGAACCTGTTTATACACAGACTTAAATACGCCTCGCTCAGATAATGTTATATAAGGGAAAACATTTGCAAATGTAAATATTCATTAATGATACAAAATTCATATATAGTGCAAAGTAAGTCCTACAGTAGAAACATCCTATAATGACACAAATTTTTGTCCTCTGATGAAAAAAAAATCATAAATATGTCATAAATTGATGCAAAGACATTTTTTGGCATCATTTTGATGATGATGCAAAGACCCTTTTTCATAAGATTTATTGTAGCAGCAAATTTTTCATTTGTTTTATCAATAATGCGCGTTTTTTTTAGATATTCGTGTGTTTTTGTTTTTGTTTTTTTTTTAGTTTGATTTACACTTAGGTTATTCTTCAATTTTAAATATTGCTGAGGCATATACATTATGTGTTAAGACTGCATACTAGGAACATGGACGTTTTAACGAGGCAAAAGAGCTAATTGTATAATTGATATTAAGAATAAAGAGTCCTGTATGATAAATGACTTTCAAATTAAAGGATTTGTGCTGTATCTGATGAAATTCTTTTAAAAAATCAAATCTAACGAAAAAGGTATACAATCTTATTTCATTAAATGTATTTTGTGCAGTAATCCTATAATCAAATAAGTGAAAACTTAAAAAAAAAAAAATGACGTAAATCTCATACCGTTGGAGAGGGGAGAAAACATATGGAGTGAAACGGATGCTCCTCCGGCGCTTTGACCAAACAGGGTCACTTGATCAGGATTCCCGCCAAAATGACGTATATTCCGATTCACCCATTTCAGAGCCAACACTTGGTCTAGTAACCCCTGATTACCACTGGTTACCGAATCATCAGTAGATAGGAATCCTTATGTATACACAAATTTAATTTTCATTATTTTGAAAGTGCTAGCGCTTGAAAAGGCTTTAATATTGGATAATTTTTATTGAAAATCTATTTACATTTATTAGGGTCTCAAAAGTAATCAATTCACATGTCACATTTCTTGTCCTTCTTAATGATTTGAGAAAAATCTGAAATTGTTATTGTGATATTAACCGTTTTGACATTTGATGAGGATAAATTAAATACAAGGTGAGATAAGAACAACTTTTTCAATCTTTCTTGTCTAAAATTCAAAACACAAATAAAGTGATGATAGGTTGTTATTAAAAATCTAAAATGATATCTGGTTTGAAATTATTTTCGATTTTGATTAAATGAATTACATAGACTAAGACGATAAATAAGGAAAACGATTCCAAATTTTATCATTCAGTTTTAATTTTCAATAAAACTTAAGAAACATTTCACTTTGGAAGCTAGTAACCGCAAGCGACAGCCTACTAACAATTAAGTGGACGAATCAAAGAAATTTATTAATTTCGTTTAAAGGCAACATTTTGCAAATTCTATGGTCGCTTTGATGACCTTGTTTGTAAATACAATCTATCGTTAGGTCGAATATTGACTAACGTTTCTCATACAAACTGTCGAGCCATTATTTTCATACTGAATTGTCAACGGATTTTTCCGTTTACACAATCATGGCGAGAGGCAAACGGCGAATATAACCGGTTGACAGGGGATGCTTACTCCTCCATGGCACCTGATCCAACATGATCCAGTCAGAGGCCTTTTGTATAGTTTAATAAGATATTGGGTATGATTGCTGTTCCTCATCTTTACATTTCATCTTTCTCATTTTTGTTCTGAAGACTGTCTGACATTAGTGCATATAATGTATAAACTTTGCTTTTGTGTGTCTGTGTTTTCTTGGAGAAAAATGTATACATTAAACGAAAAGTCAACAAGTTCATGACTTCTCTCTGTAATAACGTTGATTATATTTGTTCAATTGTACATATAACAGCACTACAATTACTGGTATTAAATTTTAAATTTTAGAAAAAGTATTTGAAATGTTATTTTCTTTGAAAATAATCTTAAAGAAAATATTCACATATATTTTTTCTTTTATATTTGATCAGAAAATTATATTAAAAGAGTTTCCCGGCATTAAGTATTAGATTTCAGTTTCTTACAAATTTTTGGGCAAATGACTTTATTAAGTCAACTTCAGTCCATCTAATAATTTCTTACCCAAAGCGCCCAGTCTATAATTAACTGTTACTACAATGACACCACCCCTGGACGCTAATATTCTTCCATCAAATTCTGATCCCGATCCATATCGATACGATCCTCCGTGGATCCACACCATTACCGGAAACAACTGGTTCACATTACTGGTATTCTGTTCCATTCAAAACAAAGTGGTCAATTGATAACGGCATCTTTTGAGAAAAGTTCGGAGTAAAGCTAAAGAGTGTTACATTTGCAAGTCATTATATCTGAAAAGAGTATGAATGGGAAAACTCGCGAATTAATATGCTTGTAATATAATTATAAAATATGTCAAATGAATGTAATATTTCAAAATATACAATTATCCAGAGATATTATTTTTAGTAAGTTTTGATCTTAAAGTAGCAATATGTAAGATGTACATTACAGATAAAACACATCTGACATTCATGTTATATTTGCTTTGGCTGTTTTGCTGCAACTTTTACATAACATTTCACTACCTTTGGCGCATATACATTAAGGTAGAGACAATCCTCTTCTATATTGGAGAACGTCTTCCCGAAACTATATCTGAAAAAGATTGATTTTTTATATAAACTTTTCTCTCTTTCTAATAACCTCTCGTCTTTTTGAGAATCCAATTGTTTTTCATATATAGTAGTGAGATCTGTCAGAGGTGAAATCTCCCACAAACAAAATTTCATTTAATTTTCCTTTTTTCCAAATGTTTTGTTTTAGGTATGGAACGCTCATATATAAGTATAATAACTGTAATGCATAAACTTACTGTTGCAGAAAATGCAAAGGTTGTGGACAAGCAGGGCCAAACCTAGTGGCATTCAGAATGTGTGGTCTCCAGTTTACTTTCTCCTTTGGTGGAGCAAATCGCAGGTCCCCTACCGGAGGCTCAGCGAAAGGAATACCCAAGTAGATTTCCAGTTGTCCACCAGAAGGCAAGGTGATACTGTAACCTTGGATTTGACCATCAGTGGTATCAGTAATTACAAACCTCTCTTGGGAATAATGAACAAAAAGCAACAAAAGCAAAAGAAATGAATGTAAAGTCATGATATTCTACATAGGCACAAAATGTGGTAAGAAAGTTTAGAATTGTGAGTTTTATCAGCATATTATGTCCAGATAGGTCCGTGTGTAGAAAGAGGTGATAAGAACATAATTTAGTGTCGGTGACCGAAATAAGAACATCTCTTTTGTATGGTGGAATATTTCTGCACCCTAAATGCAAGAAAAATTATGTTAACATGCTACATAATTATGAAGAAATGCGACTTATTTTATGTCAACATGTAAAATAATTATGTTGACATGCAAGTTACCAATCTCTTCAGAGAATCTAATTTTAATGTTGATTAACTTACCTACTAACGCCATTATATGACATAATACAAGCGGAAGTTGCAACCAAATTATGTAGACATATATGTCAACATACATGATAATTATGTAGACATGCATCTTATTTATGTCAACATGCAAGACATTTATTTTAACATGCAAGTTAATTATGTCAACATACGAGATATGTATGTTGAGGTGCAACTTATTATCTTGCATGTTAACATAAATACCTTGCATGTTAACATATATACTTTGCATGCTAAAATATAACTCGCATGTTGACATAAATAAGTCACATTTTGACATAAATAAGTTGCATCTTAACATAATCGTCTTGCAAGTTAACATAAATAAGTCGCATGTCAACATAATTCTGCTGCATCTTGCTTGTATGATGTCATATACTGGCGTTAGTAAGTAAGTTTTACCAACATTAAAATTAGATTTTCTCAAAAGATTGGTAACTTGCATGTCAACATAATTATTTTGCAAGTTGCATGTCTACATAATTATGTTGTATGATAACATAATTTATCTTGCATGTAGGGGGCAGAAATATGCCACCATATTTTTGTGATTGAAAGAAATGCTAAATATACATGTCGTTTAATATTAGTAAATCGATAACATTGTTTAGATGACTCGAGCCCCTGTTGGTATCAGAACATTTTTTTTTTGGTTTCAAGTTCACAGTAAAAACAGGACTGAGGCAAAATAATTCCTTAATTCGCTTAACACCACCTTCTGAAAGTTTTGCTTAAAGTTTTTTTTAAAAAAAATATGCCGCAAAATGTGATAATTAAATGACGCCCGAACTATTATAAAAATATCAAGCTGTTTTAGCCCTCTAACTGACGGAAATTTTTATGCATTCAAATATACTCGAACTGGTATATTATTATATACATCGCATACCTGCTACGGTTCTTTGCATGGTCAAAATGACATGATTATCCGAGTAAAACACAGAGAATCTGCTAAAGTATTGTGGCTATCCTTAGATACTTGTCAAAACATGATACATATATCGAAAGAATGACAAATTTTGTCTTGATTAAAAAAAATGAAGTGTAATAAGCCACTAATAACCAGTTGGAATATAAAGTTTACTATTGATATGACCGTGCAATTCAATTTCGAATTCTATTCAATTCTTTATTGCCCTTGAGTTTCACAACTCATCGGGTATCACAAAATGTTTCACAAATATACATGTTATAAAATAATGGGTGAGTTGACAGTAAAAAAACAAATTATTACATTATTTAAGTTGTACAATTACAGACATATACTGTCATAACATCAAGATGCAAAACCTAATAATTTTACAGCTTTTTAATTAATAAGAATTCATAAGTTATCAAGTTCTTCTGTATTTTCAACACTAAGAAGCTTAAAACTAATTTAAAGACACTTGTTTTTGTATAATAAAACCTATTAATATATTTCATCCTCAATTCAACATAAAACGGACATTTCAAAATAAATTGAAACTCATCTTCTATATCATTTTGATTACACAATTTACAAAACCTCATCTTCCTTAACACATTATTTTGTAAGCCTTTCTCAGTATTCAAAGAATGTGAAGTTGTTCTGAACTTTGCTATACATTTTGTCCCCATTTTTGCTAAATGTAGTTTTAAGATATAAGCTTGTAGACAAAAATCATCTATATTGAATGTTGAAAAAAAAACTCTTTGGTGAGTTGGATAGAGCAGATGATAATTATGTTTGTATATCCAATATCTTTTGTTCCATTACATGTATCATAATTTTAAAGTTAATGTGTAATTGATTCTGTAAACTTATATTGTAAACCTATGTTTGACAGCTCATCTTTCTATATTTACAACCCAGTTGTCGTTATGTGCAGTCACGTTTTCATTACATTCTTCCAAAATACGATTATTTCTGGTTTTAATTTTTAACCAGTAATTAAAAATTTTCAATTTTGCATTTATTGATGACTTAATCAAACATCGACTCAGTTTGTATCATTTATCAACCACCGTGTTAATAAAAAAAATACAACGTCGACAAATGATCAATCATATCAAATATTGATAGCTATGTCAATGACAATTTTGGTTATAGGTAAAAATTTGTGCACATGATTGAAAAAAAATGGTAAATTTATCATCCATTCAGTAATGCTAAATGTACCTTGTCCTTATTAATAGTTATAATATTATACATATAATACATGCTGCCAATTTTGTACAAGAACGTTTAAAAATAAATAACAATCCATTACATTTTTCTCTGGTGACGTTATGTATATACTGGACTATGGTAGTAACTTACTCACTGTGGGCGTGACAGATCAACAGGGAATGCTTACTCCTCCTAGGCACCTGATCCCACACTCTGGAATGTCCATGGGTCCGTGTTTTATGCCCTCTTCCTAGATTTGTATTGTTTATAGATTTTTTTTTAGATCGATCACTGTTCGTTATCTTCACATTTTTCAATTACGACAGTAAAGCAGAAGTATCATGATACAATTTACTTTTGTGCTGGAATGTGCTTGTCTTGGGGTATAACGTCATAGAACTATTGATGTAATTAATAAACACATTTTAAAGTCATTTTCTAGTATAAGTGGATGGGTTTTCTCATTTGATGATATATTTGACCGTCATTTTGATCCTAAATAGACACATATGTACTAATACAAACAAATATGGATGAGGTGATTGATAAAATTTTTCATCGATGTAGAATCATTAGTTGTTTACATGGCAATTCAAGTGATTATATTCACAGTCTATTTAAGACACGAGGTTCCTATAGAAGTTACGTTTTAGGCCATTACAAAGACATGATACCTTTGAGTTCTTGTAAATATTTTCTGTAATGCAACACATGAATGGCCATGTCCAATAAAATTAAACTTCATGTCTAGTTATGATTAAATCATGATGAGATTTATGCTATTTTTAACCTTTGGATTGTCAAATTTATTAAAAATTAAACTTTGCATTCTTCCCCCTGCACACACATTTGTAAACAAGTACTTCATTTAAATTAAAGAAAACTTAATATAAACAGAATCATTGTGAATAGAATTTCAGTAACGAATAGTTTGGTATTTAATATCTATGTTATAATATTCATATATTCATTTCTAAAAGTGAGTGTCGAAACTTTTGGACAACCATTCTAATGCATACTAGTACTATTTCTGATTAAGATTTGTTAGTATCTGATTTTGCAATTCTATTCCCTGTTCACTACTAAATTACGATTTTATAAGAAAATCTTTATGGTGCCAATTTCATAATTGCTTTCCTCAAACAAGGTCAAAAACCTACACACGTTTTAGTAGACTCGTTGACTGTTATTAGAAAAAAATAGCTGTTTTATTGAGATAGTAAAGTTTTGATTAACTGTACGTTTACTGAAAATATTTACAAACATATTATATATTTGCCTATTATATATAGATACGTTACCTACTCAGTACATTTCATTATTACGGACATAAAATTTTTGTAGCTTTGAAGCAATATCACAAAATAACATCAAAATATCTATGTTGCTCAATAAAACTCAGTGCAATTAAGATTTCAGAGGGTTCTGGGGATTGGAATACAGGATATTGTGTGTTAAAATTTTGGAACTTTTACAAGGGCAGTGTATAGCATTTTTCCTCTCGTATTCGTGAACAGTTTTAATGTTGCATTTTTTTCATAAAAGTAGAATTACACAAACCGGAAATATCTTAATTGATTTAATATCAAATGCTTGAATTAAGGGAAAATTGAACAAAAAAATTGTAGCCTCCTCAATTATTTCCTTTACATGCTTCCTTCTCATTTCTACGTGCGCATAAGCATAAACTTTTTTAAAAAAAATCCGTTCATCCCAAACGTTGCAAAATTGCAAATCCATTTTTCGAAATTTCATTCTCGACTCATAAAGAATTTCAAGAACATGTGTATTATTAAGAACTATGTATTTGCAGTGTACCCGAAACACTATCATTTTTCTGAAATTGGAATCGTGCATACTTCTGTGTTGTGTTGAAACAAACCCAGTGCAATCTAGATATATTTTAAAACAATATTAAAATTAACCATTTCTATGTTTGAAGTTGAACAGTTATGTGGAGGAGAAAAAAATATCTTTTTAAATCCCTTACATCTAAATATACATTCAAGATATATAAATAAATATACTTTGAATATTTCATGTTGTCGGAAACCAGACAAAAATCCCTCCTTAAATTTCATGGTTTTAGCCCCACCCCTCAAGCCCCAGGGAGGCAGAGACCATGAAATTCACAAATTTTGTTTACTCATAGATGTTTTCAGCCAGAGTTGATTGAAATTGGTTCAGCAGCCCCAGAGGAGAAGTGAAAATGTTCAAATATTAACGCACGACGACGGACAAAACAGATAGCACAAGGCCACCTGCCTCACTCAGATGACCTAAGAAGCAAACGGTGTAAAGTTTGCCACGTCATCCATTTAATTTTTTTTTTTATAACAAATATCTCTTTTAATTAATCTGTTAATGCATTTTGAAAGACTATTTTTGAATTTAGTAAATTTAGTAAACATCTAAGATAGTATAAAAATATTGGTATTAAAATTTCTCATATAGATTCCTGTTGTTCTCTTGTTCCCTTGATGGGGCAATGAAAAGAATATGTTTTGTAGCACAACCAGTATTAGGACAAAATTCCCTCTACACTGTATATAGAATGTATCTGTAAAATATTTTGGTATTTGAAAGAGTATTTTAAAATGATAAACCCCATTTTAATCACTTTTTTTTAATCTCAAACTGAAAGTCTTTTATCTATAGTTTCTTATGGCTATATCGATTGAAACTATATCTTTGGTTCTGAAGGAGAAAATGGAAAATTTAAAGGTTTACAGACAATACACTGCAACATATAACAGAACATCATCGGGCACATGTTCATCAGGGAAAAAAATACTTCACCCTTTCCTCTAATAAGCTTAACAGCAAACATATTGTTATTTTTATGAAAATCTATGAAAAAGACTGTAAAAATACAT